CGATTCAGGTACCTGCAGAGTGAACCATTTATACAGTTCATCGTGGCTATCCAGCATCAGTCCCTGCCTCTGAGCACCTTCTTTGATCTGAGTCATCAGTGTAGTATGCTCATCACCTTCGAATAAACCAGGGACCTAAATAAGAATATCACTCTTCCTTCTCTCTTTTCCTCTTCCTTCCTCCGCACTCGATCCTTACCTCTCCATTAGCCAGCAAAGTGTTAAGCCTTTCTAAGAATCCGGTATCCAGCATATTAGACTCATCCATGATAAAGCACATTTTCTCATTACGACAGCCAGCTCTTCTCAGCACTGTACGCATATCCTCATCGAAATCAGCGGCAGTGTACTTGGAGTGGACTTTCAACTAAATATCGCAAATGGCCAATGGGGTAAATAGAAGAAATATCTCTGAGTTTTACCTGGAACACACTCAATCCATTCAACCATGCAACAAATCTCGATAAGGTGGTCTTTCCCGCACCAGCGGTACCGATAAGAAGCAGATGGCCCTGTGGTTGACGGTAAATTCGGTCTATACGCAGTACATGATCCAGCATCTGATCGAATAGTACCAACTGGACATCAAGTTCTTCCTCGTAGAAACCCTAAAAACATATAATTTCGCCAAGATAATCTTTAAAAAATAAACTGTGGGGTAATGCATTAAAGTAAGCCTTTGATTATGCTAAAGGCAATAAAGAGCTTAAGCGACATCTCATGCTTGTACGGCATTTTGGTGTTGCAACTCTATGAGCCCCGGCTGAAAGGAAATACTTTTTTGCGTAATTCATTCACGTTTTTCAGTTCTTTACCCACGTGCTTTACGTTCTTGGAGGTGTGCTTCAATCGAGGCGGTCATAAGGGAGTTTGTAGATTTTGGCTTATGACTTTTTTCTTCACTTTTACAGCTTTACTCCACATTTATATAATTATTATAAAAAATTCTTGTTTACGGCGAGCAATCTTATCAAGAGAATGACCGAATGAAAACAGCTTACCTTGAGTCTCGCTGTAACATAATCCTTGAGTTCTTCCCTTGTAACTGGCACGTAGTTCTTGGAAAGCCAGCAAGAGTATAAAAGTGGTCGACGTAGCGCCTCCTTGACCGTGCACGCGCCACCAAAGTACCTAATGAGTTGAGTTCAATTTCTATTGCTACAGCATAAAAATTTGTGCGCTTAAATTTTTTAAGCCATCATAAAAGGAAGTTTTTCTTAGGTCAAAAAAGAAGATTACTTTTCCGCAGTTGAGTCCACAA